CGCGCCTTGTAACAAATTAATTATGGCAAATAAGCTTCTTTCAACCAATTTGGAACGATATCTAAGGCGGATTAAATCTCCGCTTACGCGTTAATAGCGCGAAATATATCGCGCGTTAATTGTCCCAAATTGGCCAATATGCCAATCTTTAAACCCCCACAACTTTACGAAAAAAGATCACAGGTAAAATATCTTATCAAATTTAAGCTCAGGACAACAATGCCTTTCGAATGATATAGAAAAATTCCATCAAAAATGGCTAGTTAAAAAGTCGAAATTTGTCTGAAGAAAAAAAAAACCCACCCCGAGCACAAAAATTCCGTTACTTTCGTATCGAAAGTCGGAACAAAAATAGTGAGCCTCTAGATCAGGGAGTGTTTTCGAATAAAACAAGGGCAAAGCCGAGCAGAACGAGTTAGGAGAACTTATTACAGATTGAACGATTTCGTGACAAAATTGGTATCTATTACATATTTTATGAGCAATCGCAATCAACTGACCATCAATTATATAGTTTGTAAAAAGCTCATTTGAAAAATTAATTTACGCGAAATCATGTTCAAAAATTCTGCAAACTAATTAGGAAATCAATTTTCTATAAAAAAGACTCAAGCCTATGCTCAGTGGCCTCTTTACAATCGCGCAAAATTTTTAGATCAAAATTTTGATTAAATCAGAACAATCAAAACTTACTAAAAATAAAATATTGCAAAACAAAATTATGTGTCTTTGCTTATGCTCTTTGGAAATAAACAGAGACATAACTTCAATTCAAATGCACCATTTGTATGCTAGGTACTTCAGGGTATAGAAAAAAAAGCCGATATAACTTGAAGCCAAAATTCAAACATTTTTACTCTTTCAAAAACTTCAAAATTATCATTTTTGTGTACATTCGGCATTAGCAAACCAAATAAAACCATTAAAACATTTTCTTAAGCAAGATATATTTTGTTTTCGACTACTCGTTTAGTTTTTCATCTGTTGTAAACAAGTCGGTGGAAAAAATATCTCAGCCAACTCCAAGATTGCATCAATCAGCTACTTGTTCTAGAAAAATTTTCACACGATATTTTTTAACGGGTCGTTTTTCAGTGATTGATAAATCCTGGCAAGAACCATAAGTTTAAAAAATTCTTTCGAAGCGAACATTTTCACTTATCATAAAAACTTAATGAAAAATATTCAGCAAACATGATCCCTCCCTCCCCGCACATCAACTAAGTGAGCTTTCGCGTCCCCAATCAAATAAAAGACGAGTTTTTAATTAGCTATTTTTGATTGACTTTTTTTAGATCACTCGAAAAATATTGTTATTCAGAGCACAAAATAGAAAAGATATTTTACCTGTGACTATTTTGGGTTAAATTACGGATTTAGCCAATTTAAAAAAATTAACACGCGATGTATTTCGCGCTACGCAGTGATTTAATGCGCACGCAAACGCGAAATAATTGCGTCAAGATTTTCTCAAATTGCGTCAAGATCAGACAAAATATGAAGAGAAAAAAGTTGCCTCGAGTGTACGAGAATTTATATAGAGTAGTTTGTTTTTCGAAATCTGTAGCTAACATTTTCCCTCACAAACTAGTCATTTTGGCCTTTTTTTAGTTAATAAAGAAATAGGCTGAAACTACCGAGTTAATTGATAAAAAAAGCAAGAGAAAAAGATGAAAAAAAATTTAAAAATGAGAAAGTTATAGCAAAACAACCTTTTACCTTAGCCCAACAAAATTTTAGAAAATAAAACTTCCGAAAAAAATGCGCAAAATGTTTGACATCTGTTTTTAAGCAAAATTTTTGATTTTTCCGTAGTACTTCAAAACCTCAGTTTTTGGCTATTAATCAAAAATATATTCTTTTTTAGAGATTTTTGATTGTTTTTTACTTCTAGAACTGTTTCGGGCTGTGCAGCAGGTTTCTGTTGATATAACTTAGTCAACAATTAACTCGGTTTCTTCAGCATGAGCTTTGATTAACTAAAAAAACTAAGATGACGATGACGCAGTTGTAAAAGAAAATTTTGGCTGCACAATTCAAATAAAAATTGCGCCAAAATTAATTCTGGTGACTTTCCAAGCAACTTTTGTTCACTTCATTTTTCGTCAAATCTTGACCCAATTTGGGAAAAAGCCTTCGAAATTTCAAATATTGTTTGTTGTGTCCTGTTTATCTAGACCAGCACTGTATAAGCAGTCAAATAATTACTCAGCTTAATATTTCTTTTTGCTCAAAAATACTGCTTTCTGATTGGTTGAAAAGTCTCTCAAAAAATTGAGAAAAAGCAAAATGACCAAGTGAACTTTAACCCCCCATAAGGGGGATTGATCGCATTTTTTTCGAAATCTTCCAAAGATGTGGCAAAACTAAATAAACAATGTCAATCAAAAAGCTTAGGTTTTTGTGAAAAAATCATTTCTTGGCTAATATACTTTGCAAAAAGATGCACCGTAAAAAATATAGATGCACCTCTTTCTCTTCAATTTCTATCTTATGGAAATCCAGGTTCAGAAAAAAATAGCGCTAAAACTTTTTTTATTTTTTTTGTCTAGACAGTTTGAATCAGCATATCATTCATGTTTCTAGCAATTTTCCTTTATCTTTTTTCAACTCAACTGTCACATCGCATTTAAAAAATTTGATACATTTTCAACGCACATTTTTTAGGATCAAATGCATGGCATCTAAATTAGATAATCTGCAAACATGTTATACATAGCCAAAACTGAAATTATTTGAGCAATAAATCACTTAAGCGGCTCTCAATTATCGAGCAGCAATTGAGCTGCCAAAAACTGCATCACTTCGCGCAGAACCGCAAAAAAATTTGATGTCATCCAAATCTTTTAACTCTGTTTTGTCCAGATTTGAGCAAAAAAATTATTTCCGCTGAATTGAGCACAAATCAAATTTCCGCTGAATTGAGCCCTTAAACAAAAAAAAAATTTAAAAAAAGATCAAATATACGAAGTTTAGAATAGTAAAGTTACAAATCGTTAGAAAGTTTAGTGTAATCATAAACTAGATTTTCCCTACGTAAATAACTTAGCTATTAAACTGTGAGCAAAAAAAGTTTAGAAGCTAAATTTACGGGGGAGGGGGATCTAGTTTATGATTGCACTAAACTTGCTCTCGCAAATTTAAGTGAGAAATGGGCGCTGTTTTCTGAAATTCTGACCAGAAACTGTAAAGTTGGCTCCTTTTTCAGAACAAAAACTTACAAAACAAATTCAGTCGTTGAAGCCAGCTATTGAATTACAGCTGTCAGACGTGCAATTTGGGTAAAAATGGAGATAAATTTGGAAGTAACCACAAATTTCAATCATCCTGTAGACAAAGTTGCTTAGGGGATAAAGAGTTTAGTACCTGATTGTAATACCCTTGCTCGATTGAACCCGTCATATTTGATAGGATAACTTGTAGAAAAAGCCATAAGGTTTTTGAAACCGGTCGCAAAACCTTGACTTTTTGAAGGCCATAATATCTTTCTCAAAATACGGCGTAACCAAAGGAAAATGTAGGTTTTTAACAACCTGCTCTTTCGGTTAAGCCCTTGAAATCAGATTTGGCAGGATAGTTGTTGAGAAAACTCAAAAATTTCCAGAAAACGGTCAACAAATAAGTTTTGATTTTTTCGGTTATTCAGAAAAAATAATCAAGTTATTTTTGGTATTCAGGAAGTTATTCAAGAAACCGGTTTTTTCAATTCAACTGAAAAACTCAGATTTCGGAGGTTAGTCCTCGAGAAAGTTTCGAAAAACGAGGGACTTTGCCGAGAAGGAAGCATAACTTTTTGTGTAAAAAAACTAACGTAGTCGCCTAAGTAAATAATTTTCGTGCAAACCATTCTTCGAATAGAACTAAAAACTAATATTTGGAAGGATAGTTTCGAGAAAAAAAGACAAAACCTCAAAAGACGGTAGAACTCAAAAAATTAACAATTCCGAAAGCTTTTATTTTCTGGGTTAAACTGTTTGTGACTGAACTCTTACGTAGGAAAGCTTCCAACTACTGATTGTTTCCATTGATCCTAAAATATTAAATTTGGGAGCAATTTTGAGAAAATGAAAACTTGCAAAATATGGTTCAAGTTTTCCCCCAGCAGACTGTTTGAAAGCTGTAGACAGTGGGGTCGACTGGGGAATTATGCAAGCACACAGGGGAAAAATTTTCCTTCCCTTGATTTCCGTTTTTCGAAAACCTAAATATCAATTGCAATTACCTTGATACTTGTTTAGAGCTTAAGAAAAATTTGTTAAATGGCACCTATGACAACAGCAGCTTTTGAGAAAAACGCAAACAAATTTAAAAAAATTCTAAAGCGTTTCAAGATGAATAAAATACAAACCCAATCACATACTTTCAATATACCCATTTTTATCAATCAGGAATACTAGGCAAGACATTTGAGTTTTAAGTTAGAACGGAGCGAAACTTATGAAGCGAAACAAAGCCGACTATCTTTGAACAGACACTAGCTGACCCGAAAAAAAAAACAATTGATTGTTTGATAATTATTACAGTTGCAAGTCCCCCTGAAACTACAGTTAATATCAATAGCAATTACCTTGATACTTGTTTAGAGCCCAAAAAAAATTTGTGATGTGGCACCTATGACAACAAAGCTTGAGCAGACAAACGAAAGCGACAATTCGATTTTTACCGAAAAAAAACTTTTCAAATATTACAAAGAAGGTACTGCCGTAACTCGAAACCCAAATTTTAGTTTGCAATAGTACCCTAAATCTTAGTCCGCGTTACCTGCCTCCGATGGCTCAAAAAATTAACTCGAACCAAGAAAAATCAAAATTAAACTCTTTTTCATTACAAAAAAATGTCACTTATTCAATATACAACTTAATCAACATATAAGAATACATAATACTTCCCCATTTTCAGTGGTCGGAACAATCGTAAAAATACTTAACACTCAGTTAACTTCGGACTCAAAAATCGCTAGCCAAAATTTCAAGATACTGTTGTTTGGAGAAAAATCTGCATCCATTTTTCAGACATTGAATTGCACTATTTCAAAAACATTTCCATTTAATCTAAAATAAATCTAAACAGTGCAAGCATAATTTTAATCTCATTGCGCAGAGTCACATAACGACAGAAATGAACAATTTATCAATCAGAATCCAAATAATGCCATTTTTCGTTACACGACAACAAACAAATTAAGCGAATCAAATAACATTCAAGATAAAAAATAAATCAAAATTTTCATTGCGTTCAAAACGGAATAATTATAAAAAGCGAAAATACTCTATGAAAAGAAAATACTTACGTATCCAATAAAACATTACGCAATATTAAAAAGTGAAGACCAATCTTTTATCGTTTGCTTTTCTTCATCTTTCTTGTCCAACAACCTTAAAAAATAGCTTCAGATTCAAAAACTTCCCGTATTTTTTCAAAAAAACTGAAATAGGTATAATGTAAGAAATCTGTAGGTGTGAACAACAACCGAAGGCATTTGGACAGGAGAGAAAGCTAATTTATATTGTCAATGCAGATATTTGGGGGATAATTTAATGTTCATTGTCTGTAGTTTACTTTTCGCTTTCTCAATGAGTAGGTTCTCTCCTCTATCGGAGAACTTGAGCCCGAATTGCTGTCGTCAGCCTCACACTCATCATTATTCTGACTCAGCTCTTTCGCTAACTTCTGATCCAGTTTAATCTGTGCATCTCTACTTGCAACATACTGCTTGTAGGCCTCCATTGAGAGAAATTCGACTCCTGACCGTCGACTGTTTACGAACAAAGAGGGGTCTAATTTATTTGACGAAGCAGAGAGAGCTAGGGCGGCGGCTGCTGCAGCCGATTCGTCTTTGTTCAAATGAGCATACTCGAACGACTGCTGGAAGAGAGCGGGGTTGAGGCGCAGCTTCTTGTACTCAGGCATCTCTACACGAGGGGCCACCGAGTTCTCTTTCTCGTCTGGTGGCTGCTGCTTCCTCTTTCCTCCGGGACCACCTAAATTCAACCAGACAGACTTGAAATATTATTCAAATTAACCCACGGCAACAGATCCCATGCTTTGTGATCAATAATTTACAAATACTTTCCGATTTCAACGTAATGAACGCTAGCGTAATGATTCAGAACAAAATCACGTGACTTTAAAGATAAAATAGAGCGAAAGAAAAACAAACTATCACTGTAATTCTTTAAGCTAAGTTGCAATTCAATTTGCAAACAATATGAAAAAAGGGCAAACGAAGCTCTAAAAATGCAAGAAAAACAAATCAGTAGAGAAAAGATAAGCCTTGAAATTTTTTTTTTTGAAGACCACGGATTAAGAATCGCATGTCAGCAGTCTTACTAAGATGGCAATTCTGGCAACACAGTTATTTAATGGGGAAAAGATTAGTACCCGGATGCAACAACTTTGCTGATCACAAGGGTAAAACAGAGGCGAAGCTGCAACTTCTCAAAGACAAGCCAGAAAGGGCACAGATTCAGGAGCTTAAAATGAACTAAGACATGAATGTAATAGTTTGGAATGTAACCAACTAAGGGCAATCACGCTAATTTTGCATGTAATAAACTAGAATGTAGTTTAACCAGTGATGTCCATTTAGAAAAATAAAAATTGAAATTTAAATTAAAATTGTTGAAAAAAATTATAAAAATTCTTGGCATCAATTTAAATTTATCCGAAACTATTTAAATATTTTTGAAGAAATTAAATTTTTTTTCAGTCTGTTTTTTAGCGTTTTTTTGCTAATTTTGGGGACTTTTCGCAATTTTGTAAAAAGAATTCCAAAGCAATTTTTTGGGCATATCTATTTGTTACAAAAACTCGTGAAAATTTAGATTGTTTGTTTTTCAGCGGAACTGTGAAATTAATTATTATGAGTAAGCTCTGTACTTTGGCCTCGGATCGAATACAGTGCTGATTTGAATTAACCGCACAAAACGAGCTAAACATAAAATTCAAAACGCGTTTTTCTCAAATTGGGTTGAGTTTAGGTGAAAACGTATGACGACAAAACTTTCTTAAAATTTTAGCAGAATTAATATGGTGATATTTGTTTTGCGAACTTCGGGCCCAAAAACTTAAATTTTAGGCCAAAAATACCCTGTCGATCACAGACATAATTAAATCAAAGTGGGCCCCTTAATTAGCCCAACAAACTTTAAGGTATTTGAGAAAAACGCGTTTTAAATTTTAAGTTAAACGCGTTTTGTCCAATTAATTTAAATCAGCACTGTACGCAGAGCAATTAATTTTTTTTCTCAATTTAAATAGCTTGATTTAAATTAAAATTTTTCATTTAAATTGAGTGGGCTCATAATTTCACATTTAAATAAATTGAAACTTAAATGAAAATTTAAATTAATTTCAATTGTTTTTTTTTAAATGGACATCACTGATTTTGACCAAATAACCTTTAAATTATGAATTTCAAAAACCTCGCGAAGTATATCGAGTAGGAAAACTTCGACTTAGGATTTTAGTTATTATAATCTTTTACAAAACAAATAGCTTTTTTTCGGTTAAATTGATGACTAAAAAAAGCACTTTAATTTGCGATTTGGGCTGGAAAAACATGGAAGCCAAAAAAGTTGATTGAAAATTTGCGTTTTTCAATTTTCGGAGCAAAAACAATAGGTTCAAATTCTTCGAACTTCAATATTGTTTATGATAGGCACTTTATTCGCTAAGCTTTCCCATTTAAGGAAAACTGGATATATAGGTATTATTTTCAGTCAACTGGAAACTCAGACAGACCATCTACGAACGTTTTCCGTGACCTTTACACTTTTGCTGTTCAACTCCTGTTCGATATCATGATATGCAATACAGGAATTTAGCCTATAGATGGAATCGTACTGCAGAATCGAATCATAGCATTACTTTCAACGAAATTTTATTATTCAAATTAACCCACGGCAACAGATCCCATGCTTTGTGATCAATAATTTACAAATACTTTCCGATTTCAACGTAATGAACGCTAGCGTAATGATTCAGAACAAAATCACGTGACTTTAAAGATAAAATAGAGCGAAAGAAAAACAAACTATCACTGTAATTCTTTAAGCTAAGTTGCAATTCAATTTGCAAACAATATGAAAAAAGGGCAAACGAAGCTCTAAAAATGCAAGAAAAACAAATCAGTAGAGAAAAGATAAGCCTTGAAATTTTTTTTTGAAGACCACGGATTAAGAATCGCATGTCAGCAGTCTTACTAAGATGGCAATTCTGGCAACACAGTTATTTAATGGGGAAAAGATTAGTACCCGGATGCAACAACTTTGCTGATCACAAGGGTAAAACAGAGGCGAAGCTGCAACTTCTCAAAGACAAGCAAGAAAGGGCACAGATTCATGAGCTTAAAATGAACTAAGACATGAATGTAATAGTTTGGAATGTAACCAACTGAAGGCAATCACGCTAATTTTGCATGTAATAAACTAGAATGTAGTTTAACCAGTGATGTCCATTTAGAAAAATAAAAATTGAAATTTAAATTAAAATTGTTGAAAAAAATTATAAAAATTCTTGGCATCAATTTAAATTTATCCGAAACTATTTAAATATTTTTGAAGAAATTAAATTTTTTTTCAGTCTGTTTTTTAGCGTTTTTTTGCTAATTTTGGGGACTTTTCGCAATTTTGTAAAAAGAATTCCAAAGCAATTTTTTGGGCATATCTATTTGTTACAAAAACTCGTGAAAATTTAGATTGTTTGTTTTTCAGCGGAACTGTGAAATTAATTATTATGAGTAAGCTCTGTACTTTGGCCTCGGATCGAATACAGTGCTGATTTGAATTAACCGGACAAAACGAGCTAAACATAAAATTTAAAACGCGTTTTTCTCAAATTGGGTTGAGTTTAGGTGAAAACGTATGACGACAAAACTTTCTTAAAATTTTAGCAGAATTAATATGGTGTTATTTGTTTTGCGAACTTCGGGCCCAAAAACTTAAATTTTAGGCCAAAAATACCCTGTCGATCACAGACATAATTAAATCAAAGTGGGCCCCTTAATTAGCCCAACAAACTTTAAGGTATTTGAGAAAAACGCGTTTTAAATTTTAAGTTAAACGCGTTTTGTCCAATTAATTTAAATCAGCACTGTACGCAGAGCAATTAATTTTTTTCTCAATTTAAATAGCTTGATTTAAATTAAAATTTTTCATTTAAATTGAGTGGGCTCATAATTTCACATTTAAATAAATTGAAACTTAAATGAAAATTTAAATTAATTTCAATTGTTTTTTTTTTAAATGGACATCACTGATTTTGACCAAATAACGTTTAAATTATGAATTTCAAAAACCTAGCGAAGTATATCGAGTAGGAAAACTTCGACTTAGGATTTTAATTATTATAATCTTTTACAAAACAAATAGCTTTTTTTTCGGTTAAATTGATGACTAAAAAAAGCACTTTAATTTGCGATTTGGGCTAGAAAAACATGGAAGCCAAAAAAAGTTGATTGAAAATTTACGTTTTTCAATTTTCGGAGCAAAAACAATAGGTTCAAATTCTTCGAACTTCAATATTGTTTATGATAGGCACTTTATTCGCTAAGCTTTCCCATTTAAGGAAAACTGGATATATAGGTATTATTTTCAGTCAACTGGAAACTCAGACAGACCATCTACGAACGTTTTCCGTGACCTTTACACTTTTGCTGTTCAACTCCTGTTCGATATCATGATATGCAATACAGGAATTTAGCCTATAGATGGAATCGTACTGCAGAATCGAATCATAGCATTACTTTCAACGAAATTTTATTTTCGACTCTGATGATTACATGCCAAACGTTAGTACACCAGATATTTTTATTTCCACTGTGAACTCCTAAAGTAGCTACCAGACAATTAGAGTTTCAAAAAATATAGTTTGTTTCCAGTTCCATAGAACAAACGAGAACCACCGCTTGCTGTGCAAGTACCACTAAAGTTTCCGACCAGATTTCTTTCTTTAAAAATTTTAAATTTATTTGTTTTTAATTTTTCATTTCAAGGTAGTATCATTTTGTTACTGCCTGTGAGTGAAACATGAGTAACGACTTGAATTGATCCTATTTATCTTTAGAAACAAATTTAAAGGGAGAAATATGTTTAATAATTATGAAAAAATATAAGTCCTGACCTGACTTTTTGAGTACAGGAAGCTCTAACTGAAGCTTTAAAATCTAGTTTTTCATATCAAAACTCTGTTTTTTTAAAAATAAATTGCGGTTTCTTCCTCGAATTGCTCTTGGCTTACTGGCTTTTGTGGAAGATGGATCAAAAACCAAAATTTTTAAACCCGTTGTCCTCGACACAGAAACCTCCAAGAAAATTTTCAATGTCGAATCACGACTTAAAGTTCTATAGTATGATATATTACTCCCATTAAACTGCTGTTTCGTTTTAATACCTGATTTTGCTAGGGAAAAAAGTTTCATCCGAAGAGAAACACATCTGAACACCTGAGTTCCGTTCCACTTCGAGGAGAACACAAATAGAAAGCTCTTTTCTGACAAAACTAACCCAATTCAAGTCACAAAGATACACTTTCTCCAATATCAATTAAGAATCTGATGTCAGTGAAATAAATAATTGTAATGTTTTATGTTCCAACCACTGAAAATGGGGAGAAATTTTGTCTTCGAAAGTTTTTTTTTCACGCAAAATCAGGTCCCAAAAAATCATCAGACAGAATCAAGTGATATATATTATTTAAGTACCTACAATCGTGATTAAAACGACAAAAATTTCGAAAGCTTCTCAGTGTCAAGAAAAACCGGTTTCAAAACTTTTCTCTTTAGTTCAACTTCAAGCAAGTAAAGTGAGCGAGCAGACAACGCAAAGCATATACATACTTGCGATACCACAAATGCGAAGCACTGCAAGCGATCGCATAGAAAATAAGCCCGAAATAACTCAATTGAAAAAAAAGTTGAAAAAACTGAGTTATTTTTTTGGAAAATTGAAAACACTGACTTCGGAAAAACAGTCGAGAAAAA